AAATATTTTAAGTACCATATGTTGTAATTTTTCCTGTGACAATATTCCTTCTGTTATTTAACTCTCTTGTTGTTTTGGTTTTATTTTAGTTTCTTAAAAACTAGATATGTGGTACCCTTGATCCTTTTAGAAAATATTAATTACATTTTAAAAATTATCCTCCATTCTTTATATTACCTCTATATGTTTTGGATCTGTGGCTCAATTTTTGTATTTTGATCTTCCTCTTTCTGCTGCTGGCTATCTTCAAATATCTGCTAATCCTCAATCCTAGTTTGTTTGCAACCCTCCACTATTGTAAAAGAATAAAATGCCGATACTAATACTAAACAACATAGTCCTTCATTTGTAAATAGTTAGGGTTAGTTAGTTTAATAGGGTTAGTTAAGATTTACAATATTTATTAGTATTGGCATTTTCTTCTTTTGCAATAGTGGAGGGTTGCAAACAAATTACAACAATGGGAGGTTGCAACTTTCTTTGCATTATGCAAGGAATAAATTCAAGCTCTGAAAAATGGACAAGTTCTAAGTAGAGGCAGCCTTCTACCTAAGGTATGTTATTAGGGAGATGTGTAAGACCCTTTAAATCACTATAATAATAATAAAAATGCTATTCCAGGGTTGGCATACTTAATATTTATTTAAAAAATGAGTGACATGAAATCCTTGTCTTTTTTTCCCCCCTTTGACGAATTTGGGGATTAAAAATTGTCTTAACCTCTGTCTATGCTCCAATTCTCACACTAGTTCCCTTCTGTGAAATGGCTATTTAGAAAGTATTTCTTGGTTTTAGCTAATAGCAAATGTTACAGCCAGTTGCTCCTTGTACACAGAACATATACATTTTTACAGATAGGCCTTTAATTCATTACCATGATTTCTTCCCCAATAGCCCATCACTGCATTCAGATCCTCTACTGCATTCTCTTCTATGCAAAATCAGAGTTACACATTCTTTTCAGAGGTCTCAATCAATAATCATCCGCTCTCTCTCCTCCAGAAATCTGTCAATGTTTCTCTTCTGTTGATGGCACTATTTCTTATTTTGAAATGGATTTATTCTCTTGTTATTAGTATTTTGTATATATCAACTCTCACTTCAGTTAGATTTTATGAAGGAGAAAGGGCAAATTATGTACTCTACCATCTTGAATCAGATACTCATTTGTTTTTAATGTTATTTTTTCATTGTTTTGACCACTCATTTTTTAATTCATATAAATCTGCGTCTATTTTTTTAGTTTCTGTCTTTTTTGTTTCTATTAGAAAGATTTTGCCCTCCCTAGTAATACATAGTATTTATTATTAAATATAGTTATTTCAAGGTTTTATCAATTTTTTTCTTTCTATATGATGATGAGAAACACAATGGGCAAAAATAAATAAACAAACAATAATCATGGGCACCAACATATGATTTACCTGACTCCACTTGAAGAAAGAATTAGGGGGAATTCTGGAGAGTAGTGTGTAATGAAGAAAGAATAAGACCAGGATGGCATGGACCTGGGTTTTAAGTAGATTATACTATAATGAAAATGCAATTAAAGCATTTATAGGACATCACAGCCCTATAGATCTCCCAACTGGCATGGGTTATAATCAATGTGAATAAATTAAATATTAAGAATCTACATATTTACATCTTCTATCTTGGCATTGCTTCCGGAAGGAAGCTGTTAAGTTAGGAAATGATGGTGCAGACTCCCTGGCTTTACCTGTCATCTGGCTTGGGCTATTACCATCTTGCTGATTTGTTTGATCTTATTCCAAGTTTTTACCAAAACAGATCAAATAAATCCAAAAGAAAAGTCACCATATTGACCATACAGGATTTTTGCCTGGGATTTTGGATTCTGTTAAACTCTCTATGGGAATTTAATGAATGTTCAATTTTACATACTTATGAGATGATTCTTTGTCCAACACTATGAAATCTTTCTAAATTGTCCTTGGGACAAGTCTTTTTTTAAAAGTAAATGGTTAGTTTAATTTATGCATGACACATTAAAAATTTCATGTTATAGTTTTTGTTTAATTACAATTATTATTTAAAGCAGTTTAAGGTTCACAACAAAATTGAGGGGAAGGTACAGAGATTTCCCAAATACCTTCTGTCCCCACACATAGTTTTTTTAAACCTAAGAATCTGTGTTTCTCCTTCTCCACCCCCACTCCACCCCACCCCATCTCCATATAGGAGACCTCATTACATGTATAGTAAGTGGTATACTCAGACTTGCTTTTGATATCTTGCTTCAGTCTTTCTAATTTTATGTTCTTTTGCTTTTTGTCTTTATGTGTTTCATTTTTCCAAAATATAGATTGTTTTGAAGCTTTACTAATTTTTTTTAAGATTTATTTATTTATTTTAGAAGGAGAGGGGGTGAGGGGCATAGGGAGAGAGGGAGAGAGAATCTCAAGCAGATTCCCCACCAAGCATGGAACATATGTGGGGCTCAATATCAAGACCCATGAGATCACAACCTGAGCCAAAACCAAGAGTCAGATGCTCAACTAACTGAGCCACCCAGGTGCCCCTAAGCTTTACTAAATTTGAAAAGAAAACCTTTTATATTATTTAAGCCAACTTGAAACTAAATTCTGCTTATCAGCAATATCATAAATGAAAGAAAATCTATTAGCCAATCCCACAAATAATCTCCAACTGCTTTCTAGACTTTGGTGATATATGCTGGAAAGTTCAGTGCTGATGAGTAACAGTAAAATATCTTCATTTACATTATGCATTTTCTTTATCAAAAATAATAGCTTCTTTGCCATTTATAGTCAATAATTCAACAATTATATAGACATTTAGATCTTCATATTCTCTTTAAATATTGTCAAAGTACGTCATCATTCATTTATTCCTTTATTTTCCCTTTCCTCACCTACTCCTCACATACACTTTGCCCAAAGTGCTCTTCCTTCTCAGTTATCTCTTTTATGAACCTACCTACTACTTAGTTGTACAAGCCAGAAATATGGAAGTTATTTTTGATGCCTTCCTTTTCCTAACTTCAACATTTAATTAATCAATCAGTGAGACCTCTGTATCATTCAAATCCATCTACTTTTCTCCTTTACACTGCTATAGTTCACCATGTTTTCTTGTTTTCTGAGTCTCTGAGGGTTTCTTGAATTACTCCTGCTTACATAATTTCACACAGTGTAGCTATAGAAATTTGTTTTTCTTTCTGGATTATTTTAATCCATAATTAAAATATATTAACCATAAAATAAAGTATTTTCCTAAGTAAACAACCATACAGACTTCATCAATAAAGTGGGTTTATCATGTTGTATTTATGGATTTTATTATATATCTTTTTTATCCTACACAATTGTAAATTTAGATATGAGCTCATTTTGATAGTAATTATTTTTATTAAAGTTGAGGCATCTTGTACAGTAGAATCAAGCATTAATATATGAGAAATGTGCTCAGATAGGCATTTACTAAACATATTTTCAAAACTGTCAAGTAGAATTCATTTCATTCTTTAAAAATTTGTGAATATTTACTTTTTAATATACCATGATAAATTGAAACTGTCATTAGAATTTTGTGATATTTCAGAACCAGTTCCATTGTAGTATTACATTCAGGGATAATTTAGACATAAAGAGAAATATGATATATTTTCTAGATAATTATGCATAATAACTTTGCTCAAAATTTGTAACAAAATAACATTCTAGGAACTAAACTATACAGAATGAGAAGATGAGAGGTGAGAATATAAGAAAAATTATTAATACTGCATATTTCTCTACCTTTAAAAGATTATTATAGATACCATATATTATTAAGAGTTTATTGCTTATGATGTGCTGGCATCAGGGTATAATTCTTAATTATTTAAATTTGCAAGAATAAAAAATAACCTAATATAGCCCACTTTCTATTTAATAATGAGTTGTATTAATTTCCAATTATTTCTTCATATAACTTGTCAAATTGTAATATTGGATATTAACATTGCTATTGCAATTTTGACAGTGTTTGTACATTCTAGCAAGACTATTAATGTTAGATTTTAATAAGCTGAACTTGAAAATCTATTCTGAAGGTACTCCTATAATATTAGGATTAATAAGGGAAAAGCACATTTTTTTATTTTTGTGAATGCTATTTTTAGTGTCCTTTCCTTCAAGTGCAAGTTCTGGGAACTTTCCTTCAAGTAATTTATCTAGGGAAACAGACAAATTTGAGAACTTGGCTTATTAATAAAAGAAGATATTCAAAAATCAGTTTTATTTTTTCCTGATTAACTGAATCTCTACAAGAAATCTAGTTCAACCACAAAAAAATATACCCAAAATGAAGTACCACAGAGAAGGAAATTATAAAGAAAGACAACTCCAGAGGTCACCAGCTTTTTGACAAAGAAGCAATAGCAATTTAACTGAAAAAGAATAGTCTTTTCAACAAATGGAGCTGGAATGCCTGGACAGCATATGCAAAAAAACAAAAACAAAAACAAAAACCAAACAAACAAACAAAAAAAAACAAGAATCTAAACTTTAAACCTTTCCAAAAATTAACTCAACTGGATCATAGACATAAATGTAAAATGCAAAGCTATAAAACTCCTAGGAGAAAGGAGAAAATCGAGCTAACATGGGGTTTGGTGATGACTTCTTAGATACAGCACAAAGTATGATCCATGAAAGACAAAAAATTGATACATTGAAATTTAATAAAATTAAACACTTCTCCACTGTGAAAGACTATTTTAAGAGAATGAAAAGACAGGTCACAGACTGGAAGAAAATATTCATTAAGCACATATCTGATAAAAGACTGCTGTCCAAAATATGCAAAGAACTTAATAATATACAATGTATTCAAAAAAAAACTCATCAATAAGAAAACAAATAACTAAAAAATGAACAAAAGACTTGAACAGACATGTCACCCAAAAAGATACAGATGATAAATATACAAATGAATAGCTGTTCGACATCACATATTATCAGGGAATTGCAAATTTAAAAAATTAAATTCCACTACACACATATTAGAATGATTAAAATCCAAAACACTGACATCAAATCTCGGTGAGGATGTGGAGCAACAGGAACTTCTATTCATTGCTACTGAAAATGCAAGATTGTATAGCCACTCTGAAAAACACTTTGGCAGTGTCTTTCAAAATCAAACACAACAGCCAAACTGTGGAAAGAGCCAAGATGTCCATCAATAGATGAATGGATAAAGAAGATGTGGTATATATATACAATGGAATATTATGCAGCCATCAAAAGGAATGATAGCTTGCCATTTGCAACGACGTGGATAGAACTGGAGGGTGTTATGCTGAGCAAAATAAGTCAATCAGAGAAAGACATGTATCATATGACCTCACTGATATGAGGAATTCTTAATCTCAGGAAAAAAACTGAGGGTTGCTGGAGTGGTGGGGGGTGGAAGGGATGGGGCGGCTGGGTGATAGACATTGGGGAGGGTATGTGCTATGGTGAGCGCTGTGAATTGTGTAAGACTGTTGAATCACAGACCTATACCTCTGAAACAAATAATACAGTATATGTTAAAAAAAGAAGAAGAAGAAGGAGAAGATAGCAAGAGGGGAAGAATGAAGGGCGGGAAATCAGAGGGGGAGACAAACCATGAGAGACTATGGACTCTGAGAAACAAACTGAGGTTTCTAGAGGGGAGGGGGGTGGGAGGATGGGTTAACCTGGTGATGGGTATTAAAGAGGGCACATTCTGTATGGAGCACTGGGTGTTATACACAAACAATGAATCATGGAACACTACCTCAAAAACTAATGATGTAATGTATGGTGATTAACATAATTTAAAAAAAAATCAAACACACTCTTAACCATATGATCCAGCAGTTGTGCTGCTCTATATTTACCCAAATGAACTGAAAATTTTTATCTTCACAAAAGTCTGCACACAAGTATTTATAGCAGCTTTATTCACAATTGTCACCTGATAAAACTGATGAGAGCAAGGGGGAAAGAAACCTGTGGTATAGCAGGTAAACGTAGAAGCTTCTTTTGTATCCCAAGTGTGGCTTCTTGACTGGACCAAGCTGCGATGCAGTATTGATTTGACAGAGCGTGCACTTCAGTGATGTCTGTCTCGAATGGCTCCACATGATTTCTGTACTTCAAAATAAAGCCAGACTCTGGAAACCAAAAAAAAAAAAAAAACAAAACAAAAAAAACAACCAAGATGAACTCCAACAGGTGAATGAATAAACAAACTGTAGTATATTCAGAAAATGGAATACTATTCAGCACTAAAAAGAAATGAGTTACTGAGCCATGAAAAGACATGGGAAAATCTTAAATGGATATTGCTAAGTGAAATAAGCCAATCTGAAAAGCCTACATACATTTCCAACCATATGACATCTGGAAAAGGCAAAATTATGAATACAATAAAAAAATACCGTGGTTTTCAGGGGTTTAGAGGTAGGGAAGAAAGGGACAGAAAAAGGAGGGAGGAAAGGAAGGAGAGATAAAAAGGTGGATTAGGGGGATTTTTAGGGTACCAAATCTATTCCTTATGAGACTATAATGGTGGATACATGTTATACATATGTTAAAAATGATAGAAAGCATAACACAGAGTGAACCTTAATGTAAATTATGTAATTTACTTAATAATAAGGTATCAGTATTGGCTCATCTATGTTAACAAATGTACCATAGTATGCAAGATGTTAATAATAGGGGCAATGGAGTGAGAATGTATTTGGGAATTCTCTACTTTCTGCTCAATTTTTCTGCTCTATATACCTAAATTTGTTCTAAAAAATAAATAAATAAAACCTTTAACCTAAAAATCAGGGAACTGAACAAAGAAGATAAACCAAAGGCCAATAAGCATATGAAAAATATTCATCATCATTAGTCATTAGGAATACTTCAAAACCACAATGAGATACCACTTCATACCCACTAGGATAGCTACTATGAAAAAACAAAAACAAAAGATAAGTATTGGAAAGAGGTGGAGAAATTGAAAGCCTCATACAGCACTGGTGGGAATATGAAATGGTATAGCGTCTGTGGAAAACACTTCAACAATTCTTCACAAAGTTAAACATTGAATATACCATGTGACCCAGCAATAGTGCTTCTAGGTATATATCAAAAATCAATTTGCATCTTTTTTCTTTCACAGTCTTATATTCTTATAGGATTCTTACATTATGCCATATAAAGTAGTTTAATAGTATTTGTGGGTAGACTGTGAAAGAATGTAAATTGTATTCTTCAGAGCAGTGACTAAAAATAAATCAAAGAGATACAGATATGAATCCATAGAGGAGATAGCATGGAACACTAAAATATTTTTTTTCAATAGACAGGGCTAATAGAAAATCAGAGCAAACTGTGAGTCCCAGACACAATATGTCCTAAGACAGTTTCTTCCTTGAGTCTTAATGTCACTTCTTTCAAGATATGTTCAGTTGTCTCAGTTTCCAAAACTGTTGATAATTTTTGGGGTCTATATTAGCTAAAATCTCCACCGCACCTCACTTCTCAAAAAGTCAGGATTCAGCTCCTTTAGATGTTAAGGGAATTTCCTTCTCGATTCAAATAGGCCTTTAGTTAACTCTGAAGTATCTGACTGTTATATACAGTTCATCTAAATCCTATGTATGCTCATCCAATGCTCAGATATTCTTTATTTTTTTTTTTTAGGTTTGCATTTCCATCTACTAAGTATTTTGCTATAATTCTCTAGGATGTTAAGAGGTAAATTTGAAGGTTATTTCTGAGGTACTATGTTAAAACTAATTTCCGTTTAAAATTAACTCATGTTTTTGTTTCTGTTTTTGTGTTGATTCTTTGAATCCTATCACTGTTTTCCTGAGTCTCTGGATCCATGCTTTATATTCCTCTTCATTGTTTGAGAATTTATTCCTGGATATTTGGTCATCCTTTCTCTATCAATTTAACAATTGGATTTAGTTAAAAAAGAGACCTGCCTACAGAAGCTTTAACAAATAAGACTATTTTTCTCATGCAATTAGAAGTCTGGAATAGGAGCTCATTTAGCTGTCAAAAAAAAAAAAAAGCTTCCTTCAATCTTTCAGCATTTGAACACCTGTGACTTTTTTCCCTCATGGTCCAAGAAGGCTATTCTGACTTCAGTCTATCTATGTTTCAGGTATAAAGAAAAGAACAGGATGAAGCCAAAAGTTTTCCCAGAAACTCAGGTCTACTGATTTTACATCTTTCCATCCAGAACTGTAATACATGGCCACACTAGCTGCAAGACAGTCTTGAGGAGGTGAGTATATTTAAATGGACACATGCCTCTCTGGACAAAAAGTATGGGTAGTAAAGAAGGGGGACACTGGAAATCCAGGATATAATTAGTATAGTCAAAATGTTTATTTCAGGGACGCCTGGGTGGCTCAGTCGGTTAAGCGGCTGCCTTCGGCCCAGGTCATGATGCCAGGGTCCTGGGATCGAGTCCCACATCAGGCTCCTTGCTCAGCAGGGAGCCTGCTTCTCCCTCTCTCTCCCTCTGCTTGTGCTCTGTCAAATAAATAAAATCTTTAAAAAAAAAAAGTTTATTTCAATAACTTCTTTCTGGGTTCCTCAGTACAATCAAAATAACAGAATCTCTTTTCATCTATATCAATAGCTTATGCTTTCCAAGGCAAACAAAGCAATCATTTCCACACAGACATTATTCTTTTGTCAAAATCTCTGAAGGTCCACAATGCTCCTGTCTTCCATCTGAGGACATGCATATACTCAATAGTTCTATTGCATTCTCTTTCTTCATGAAACTTCAAGATGATATGAAATCAGAATCTAGAAAATTCAATTTCTGATTCTTTTTCCTCCAGACAATCACATATTGTCCATTTCAGAACCCTCCCCCACAGATCTGAACTGTAAAATCCTTGATCTATATCAAGAATTTATTTAATCTGTCTGTATGCTATATCATGAGAATTTTAAAAACACTATCTTGACTTCTACATAGATATTGCTAATATTCTAAAGTTCTGCTGAAAAAAAGTTGATATATCTTAACAAATTATACAAAATGTGTAATATTTGGTTATTATTTGATTTGTTATTTATCATTCTCCATCAGTCTGAACACCAACTTCTTTTTTCTTTTGGGAGCTGACATAGCAAACTACATCAAAATAAAATAAACTTTTGAATCAAATATTCGCAGGTTTTCTTCTTACAATTTTCTTACCATTTGGCTATTTGTGGCTCTTTATTTTAAATAGGTTTCCCATAATTCATTTTATCTTTTTCTTCACGCATTTCAAAGTGAATGCAAGTGTCGTTATACTTACCCTGAATACTGGAGTATGGACAGAGTTCAATATTTGCTCAAGTTTTTTTTTTATAATATTCACATGCAAAAAAATGCATGAATCTTAAGTGTACATTGGCTGAGTTTTAATGAATGAATATTCCTATGTAACCCAAATCCTTATCAAAGTAGAGAATGTTATCATCAGACATAAATTTCCTTTCCTTCCCTTTCCACTTAGTTCTTACCCACACTCCTTCAAATGTTAGCTTTGCCATGATTTTCCCCCATAAGTGTTTAGTTTTACTTGTTCTACAAACTCATGTAATTGGAATCATTCAATATACATTCTTTAGAGAAAGCTTATTTCACTCAACAAAACATTCTTGAGATTGACCTGCTGTTGTGTATATCATTAATTTGTTCCTTCTCATTGCTGAGTAGCATTCCATTGTGTGAATATACCACATTTGTTTAGCAATTGTCCTATTGCAGGACACTTGGGCTGTTCCCATGGTTTTGGCTATTATGAAATAGAGCTGTTATTAACATTTATCTACACCTATATTTTAAAAATAAGTTTCATTTCTTTTGAATAAAAACCCAGGTGGGGACTGCTAGGTCAAAAAGTAGTTTATTTTTTGGGCGCCTGGGTGGCTCAGTTGGTTAAGCGACTGCCTTCGGCTCAGGTCATGATCCTGGAGACCCGGGATCGAGTCCCGCATCGGGCTCCCTGCTCGGCAGGGAGTCTGCTTCTCCCTCTGACCCTCCTCCCTCTCCTGCTCTCTGTCTCTCATTCTCTCTGTCTTAAATAAATAAATAAAATCTTTAAAAAAAAAAAAAAAAAAAAAAAAGTAGTTTATTTTTACTTAAAAAAAAAAGAAAAAAGAAAAAAGAAAAGCTTCCACATTGTCTTCCAAAGATGTTTCACCATTTTACATTCAACCAACTATATATTGGTTGGTTATTCCAATCAAAAAGCAAATAGGTCTGGTTATTTTACATTCTTGCTGACATTTGATGTTGGCAGTCATTTTAACTGTAGACATTTTGATGGGTGTGTGGTAGATCTCATTGGAGTTTTAAATTGCATTTCCTTAATAACAAATCATCTTGATTTGTGCTGCTTTGAATGTGCTTCGGGTATGCATGGTTTCAAAGTCAGCCAGAGATTTTATCAGAATTTATACATAGAATTTGGAGCTCCTCATCTCTGTATTTTCAGATCTAATATTTCCACTGGATTTTTTATTCCTTTTGCTATTTTCTGCTGATACGTCCTATATTTTCTTTCATTGTAAATATATTTTCCTTTACTTCAATGAACATAGTCAAAATAGTTGTTTAAAGTCTTGGTCTGACAGTTGCAGCATCTGAGTTAATTAGCACTTAACCATTTGTTGATAGTTTTTTATTTGATACTAGATCACATTTTCCTGACTGAATAATTTGATTTTGTTCTAAGCATCATGAATAGTACACTGGGTGCATTCTAGATTCTGTCATTTTGCCTAGAATACAAACGTTTTTGCTTTAGCTTGTTTGACTTAAACTGCCAACTCAGGCCTGCATTGAATGGCAGCTTGGATTTCTGTTTAGTTTCTTAATCGTTGTTTGCAAGTTGCTTTCAATTTGACCTTCATATGCCTTGTTGAGGGATCATTTAGTGACATGGACTGTGTTTATGAAACAATCAGGAATTTTCTCCTGGCTTTCTTTTTTCTCGTGATTCCTTCCCTGCTTTCCAGCAGCTCTGGTTTACTGGGGCTCCTTCATTTGGTTCTTCCAGCTTGAAAGATTTCACATTTTTCTATTAAACTTTTGGAATCTGGTGCTGCCACTTTTGGAACTATGGTGGGAATTATTCCATTTTGATTGATTCTC